TGCTTTCCTCTCACTCAATGCCCCTGGCCTGTGACCTGCCCTACAGGCCATCTGTGGCCCTTTGTGGCTGCAAGATAGTAACAAAAGTTAGTTCCTCACTTTCCAGCAGAAACGTCACACATGGACACCAAGGATGACTGTTTCTTTTTCTCGAGTTCTCCTCACAGCAAAACCTTAGGGATTCCCTCTGTGTTTCTTGCTGCAAGACGAGTTTCAGGCCCCAGCCCTTGCAGGGTGATTGGATTAGACCTGTGACTCAAACTTAGCCATGTGTGAGAACCACCCCTGAGATTTTTAGAAAGCAGATCTATAAGAAACCTGGATATCGGACATTTGAAAAGAACCCTGCATGATCTTAAGTTGCAGTCAAAAGGAGTAGTCACTGACACAGACAAATCACCTGGAGTTAGGGCAATGTAGGTCCTTGGGACGAGGCTCCTGTTCCGGACCTACTGGACAGCTGGCTGGACTAGACGAGGTGTTTACCCAGTTAAGTAAAAGGCAGCTTAATCAGACAGATAAGTTGTGATCAAGGAGGAAAGCTAAATGTCAAAGCCAAGAAACAGAATGAAGTTTTAGGTCTGAGGGTGCACAATGTAAGGAGGAACTAGGACAAAGCAAAGGTGGCAAGGAGGAAGGGCTAGAAGGGGGAATAAAGGGGGCAGGAGGGGTGGCAGAGAGGAGGGGAAGAGGCCGGATAGGAGGCCAAAGTGAGATCTCTAGAGAGGAAGACGCTGTTCTTCAGGCTGGAGGGTCCCACTCGGCCAGCACGGCCAAGGCACGTCCTGTACCGCAGGCCTTGGGCTGTATTTGGCCCCAGCCAGGCCACAAGAACTGAAGCCGAAGCCACAAGCAGAGCAGCTGCTCCCTGCTGCCTCCTGCTTCACTCTGGCTCTCTTGCTAGAGTCACAAAAGGAACCTGCAGTTTTGCTGATTAAAAAGCATCAGAATCACAGTAGGTTTGTAAGGGCCGAGCTGTGTGCCAGCCCTTGGCATAAACCACCATGGAGGAGCATAGAATTGTTTGCCAGCGTCCACCTTTACCCTGTTCCTTGTCCTCTTTTGTGTTTCTTTGTTTTGCTCCTTTTCTGTGGAGCCAAGCCCTTCCCCATCCTTCTCCCTGTCACATTCCTTCTTCATTCAGGCAGGCAAAGCTATTCCCTGAGCGCACTGTCATCCACTCAGCCATTCCGTACACCTTGGTGAAGGCATCTTCTGTGTCCCTGGTCCCACTTACACTGCGCTGGAGGCACTGTGATGGAAGACCTTTAAATCGACTGCCAGCAGACTCATATGAGAAGGCAGATGGTGACACAGGTATACACCAAAGGGGCACACTGTCTGAGGTGAGATATGCTTGCAGTATGGTCCTCAAGTTCCAAAAGCAGACGGTGTGGCAGAAGACACAGCTCCCACTGTCCACATCTGCACCTGATATTTTAGTTTGGCCTTGAAATTAGCACTGTGCTGCCAAAATAGCACAGTAATGACTGCCTGGCATCCCCTGTTGGGTCCCCAGCTGATACACACCCTCAGCATGTCACAATGTTTTTGATAGATCCAGTAACCTCATGCAAAGACAGATGCATTAACTATTTTATTATTTCCCCTTGGGTAGAAAATCCTTAAGAACACAGATTTGAGGCTTGAACTCTCTTTCACCTCATATGACAAATGAGTCTTGAGTCAGACAGAGTTGGGGTCAGTACCTGGTTTTCCCAATTCATTGTGGCCTGTTTCTCAGCAAGTGACTTAGCTTCTCTAAGTTTGAGTTTCCACTTCAGAACAGGAATAACAGGAGCATCTTGCATGGACATTATGAAGAATAAAGGAGTGACATATCTTTAATAATTGTTGTGTTATAGAGAATGGAACCCTGGTATAACACGAGCAGGAGGAAAGGATAACTGCTAATATTATTGCTATTATCAATCACGTTATTGCAAGTGGTGTTGCTGGTACATTTTTACATGGTAGTAATCTCAGAAAAGAAGTTAGGAAGCAAGGATGGAAGGAAGGCAGGATGATTTTTTTTTTGTCTTTTTGAGACAGGATCTCACTACAGAGTTTAGGCTGGCCTTAGGTTCACTTCGTAGCCCAGGCTGGTCTCTAACTTGCAATGATCCTCTTGTCTCAGCCTCCCAAGTGCAGGGATTACAGTAGTGTGCCACCAACACCAGCCCCCCCCACTTTAAAGGAAAGATGATTTTCATGTTCTTTTGTTTCTGCAATGTGAGGACTCACATTGCAGATTCCATAGCTGATTCCAAGCTAAGACATCACTGAGCGAGGTGTGCACTGCTGATTTCCTTGTGGTGTGAACCGGCTCCAAATTAACAGGAGCATTAACACTACTCCAGTAAAACAGGGACTGTGGGAGAGAAGCAGGGGAACATTGCCTGGGTTTCTTGAAAAGGAGTCTGAGCCTGCCTGTGCCTGGCTGCTACTGTCAAGCAGACCGTCCACAGGGGCTGATCACCCATGACTTCATCAGTGAGTTGACACCTGTGTGAAAGGCTCTGAAGCCCTAGCAAACCTGCAGCTCCTCAGTGAATGTGGCTCAAGTGGGCATGTGGGGCTTCTGAAGGAGCCTGCGTCTCCTGGGCCAGGCCCTGCCATGCTTTGGGGCAGCCTTGGCCTTTCTTGCTATCACCATGCTTGGGATCACAGCTGCTTTTTTTTTTTTTTTTTTTTTTTTTGTAAAATGAATAATGACAAACTTACTATATGAGATCGCTAGGGAGATTTTATGTTCATTTATTACTTGGTCCTCACAGCAAGGTACTATGATCTCCATTTTAGGGTAAAAGAAATGGAATCTCTATCAACCAGTGTAATTTATCAAAACCAACAGTAACAAATAACCTTAGAACCTCAATGTCTTAACATAGAAAACCTTTTTTGAGTTGCACTCTGAATGGGGAGAGTGCTTGCCGGCAATGGGTAGCTTAGAGATGTTCTGTTGTCAGAATCTCTATGGTTCCTCCCTCCAAGGGCAGTTGAGAAATTCAGTCTTTTTTGTGTACTAAGGATGAAGATCAGGGCCACAGGTCAGTCTGTACTCAGAGGCTAGTATGTCAGATTGACTTAGGTTGGATGCACACCCAGCCCAGGCCTAGTCTTCTTGCTCCTTGATTAGTGTTTTAGCTCTGGGCCACTTTCAAATAGGCACTGGTTTCCTGCAGATCTGGAAGCTCAAAGTCCAGGGACCAAGACTGGCAGATGTGTCTGGTGAGGACCCACTTCCCGCTCAGTAGATGGCATATTCTCCTTGTGTCCCCCATGGGAGACAGAGCATGACAAGTTCTGTTGTCTTTTCTGATAAGGGCACTAGTGCCACTTGTGAAAGTGGAGCCTAATCTCCTCCCAAAACCTCTGCCTCCAGATGCCATCATGCCAGGGTCAGGATTGCAGCATACTAATTTGAGGAAGCACTGCTCTTCCATTCGTAGAATGAGTCAGGCAGAGGGAACCAGCAGAAGGTGCAGAGGAGGCTGCCAGGGTAAGAAACCCTTGCCATGCTCAGCCTCTAAAATTCAGGGGTGGTTGACTTGGTAGATACCATTAATCATCTTGCCATTAATCACCTACCATTAATCACCACTTTGAAGTGGGTGCAGAGCCCAGCACCAGCACAACTGTCTTGAAGTACAGCATTGCATTGTGCTGGCCTCTGACCAACTAGTTCTCCTAACTCCAGACCTACGTTCCCTGGGGACCAAAACTGTGCCCTGAGAACTTGGTCAAATATATAAACCAACAGTCATCTGTTATATATATATATATATATATATATATATATATGCTCAATAAACACTTTTTTAGAAAAATGTAAAAATGGAGATACCACCACTTCCTGAGACTTAAATGGGAAGAGAATCATAAGAAAATGTTTCACAGCAGGATGGCATATACTTTATACTTTCCCATGTCAGCATTAACTGGTGGGTACTGGTTGCTCAAAAAGCCATGTTGGAAAGGATTTTGAGTCTTCACCTCCCAGGGAGAGGGCAGGGGAGGGGCCAGATGAGCAATGTGTTCGATGGCACAGGCACTGTTAGCCCACTTGTCACTTCTGGAAGCCCTGCTGGGCTGGTGCAAAATGCAACATCAGTAAATGTTAGTTGAGTTAAGTGGAATTTAAACATAGTCATTGTGCCTCTCTCAATTTTTAAGCAAATAATTGAAGTGGAATATAAAGAAACCAAAATGGGATATGAGGAAATTAACATGGAAATCATATTGCAAGCACTTGACAAAACTAATTAAACTGGGAAATGCTGCTGGTTTTTTGTGTGTACATAAACATTCTTCTTCTCTTGCAACAAGGGGGTAAAGCCGACAAGTGTTCAAATTACACTTTTATGTGTGTGCTTTTCCAAGCGTGTGTGGCACTTTGAAGAAGGTTCTGCAGTAGTTGTAGCCAGAGACTCTGTAATTGCTCTGCAAATTCTTGGAATTTTGTCAGATGTGTGTGTGTTTTCCTGAACGAAGGCAAAACAGAATGCTTCTTTCTGTAATAAAAGAATACAGACGATTTCCGGTTCAATGTGTGGCCGAGAACCCTGCTATTTTCCCCTCTAAAGTGGAAATAATCCTGCCTCTGTCTCAGGGTTGTCATGAGTCTCAGAAGAGGAAGGGACATGGAGGTGCTTGGGAGCATAGTGGTACCGTTAACACATTCCTGGTAACAGTTACCATGCCAGACCCGCTCTGCGGCAGGCAGGCTGACCAGCTAGCAAGCCGCAGCAGCCCATTCAGGTCACCTCTGCTACAGTATCCATCCACCCCAGCGTTGGGTGAGAGTTAAAAGAATCAATGAACACCAAACAGCTAACTCAGTGCTTCTGAGAAGTTACCACGCAGTACACCCTAGCAATCATCATCGCTAGAATCAAATGTAAGGGGTGACAGTTTAATGTGCTTAATTTGGAGTTTCTTGGAAATGTCCTGAGCTGTGTTGCATGCACTGATGGTGTCAAAGACAAGCAGGACACACACTCAGTCAAGGATTTTATATCACAATGACAGAATTGGAGAATAAGTATGCAAAAACTATTACTTAAGATATTTTCTAAACTTTTCCTATGAAAAGAGAATTCTTTTAGAGCCATACTTGATATTATCAAAATATATTATATCCTCTTGTTTTGTCCTCATAACAACTCCATCTTACAAAATATTCCTGATGAATCCAAGTGATAAAAGATTTCCAGCAAGCTGTACCCTACACAATGCCTAGATTTCAGCATTCTCCTGACAGTATATAGTGTAAGCAAATGAAGTTTGCAAGTTGCTAAACATTTAGCTGGACTATTCTGAAGGCTCTACAGCCTACAGATTGAGAACCACCAGTGTAAGTGGCTAATGCATGTAATGAAACAAACACCAAATTGAAGAGCAAGTGGGTTTTTCTACTTCTAGAGATAAGACTGTGGACTTAGCTAGCCAAATTCTTGTGATCATGATTTATATATCTGTAGAGTTTTGAAATGGTCCTTACCTTTCAGAGTTGTGAGGTTGACATGAGAGAATCTTTGCACATTTTTCTGGGCCTGGATTTATGTGCACAGTTTCTGGAATACATGCAGTAAATAAATACACGACGGACATTGCTTAAATGTACCCACTAATTGTGCTGCTGTGTGATTGGCCCGCGATGCTTACTTGGACCAGCCCTTGTGGCAATTTATCCTTTAGAGCAACGTACACATCCGAGTACCTCAACAGTTGTTCGGCTAATGAATACAAGAGTTAGGCCTCAAACCCGTCCTTCGATCACACATGTTTCGCTAGGACTTGGCTATGGTGAGCAAGGAGACTTGGGCTTTGCCTGAATTGACACCCCTTCTTGTGGAGAAAAGCTGACCATTTTCCCATCTTCCACAGCTCTGTGTGGTGTGAGGAGTCCACAGCCCAATTCTGTGCTCCATCTCTGTTGTCACCCCTTTCCCTGATTCTCAGCCCTGCACCCTGTCCCTCGGTGGTTTCTTTTAGGACTGTCATTTCTGAGCAGGTGCCCTGTGCTGGGGCCCCTGTATGAGACATGTCTGTGGCCCTTCCTTCAGAGGCCATATCTCCTTTCTCTATCATGCTTTGTCTACTTGATTGTTATCCCACTTTTACCTACAGTGTGCATTATAGTAATTTGTCACACGGTCCTAACATCCCAAGCTCTTGTGATTTGAGAATGGAAAGATCTCTGAGTGCAGAGTGTGAGATTCTGAAATCTCACCACCACCACCTTCTACTGTGTGCTGCGGGGCCAGTTACTCAAACTGTCTGAGCTTTCAGTTTCTTATCTCCACACAGATGAAGCTCAGCTCTGCCTCTCCACGTGTGAGGGCTATGGTGAATCCACTGGGTGGAGCTGGGTTGACAGCCAGTGCTCAGTGCATGGTGCATTTCTCTTCTTCCCTATTCCGAAGAACAGGACGGTTGAGTGTCACACGCCTAGGTTCCATGCATGGTATTTGGCACAGGGTGGTGCTCAATATGCATCCAATTATAAATTAATAAGTGGGTGCACAGATACATGAAAGAAAACAGTGTGGCCTCTGAAGCAAAAATCCATCTGAACTAGAGCAATTAGGTTTGTATGTGCTTGGCATTTTCAGGGTTCCTATTTTCAGGGTTTACTATTTGTCCTTTGGGCTTGCTGTGAGGAGTGAGGATTTCCAGGGTCTGCAAGCAGGAGAGGGCATCACTTACTGCCAGTGCTTTCAGTTCTCCTCCTGGGAAGAGCAGTCAACGAGACCACGCCAGTATTCTGTCTTGGAGACGCTTGCCGAGATGTGCTTGAGGTGGTTGCCTGATGGGCACTGTCACCAGCCGACCAGACGACCATGATGGAAGACTTACGCTTGCAAGCCCTGCCCACATTGCCTGCATTTGAGCAGCAGACACCCAAGATGCAGCTGACAAGTTTAACCTCGGTAAGCGCTGGTGCTTACATGCTGAATTCAGTCTGCATCTGTGGCTGTTAAAGTGGGAGAAAAGATTAATAAAGTACATGTTGGAGCTTGAAGGAATAATTAGCAGCATGCTATCTGTTTTGGCTGCAAAGCCAGCTCCACATTTAGCATAACGTAGAACCTTTCTTTTAATCCTTCTGAGGATGAAGGATTGGCTCCAACTAAATTGCTTTTCTTTGTGCATCTTGAGATTTTTTTTAATGTTATCATTTTAAAAAATTATTATTTTCCAAATTTCAAGTAAGCTTTTAATCAGCCTCTTTGTAGGATCTGCGTTGTTTCTGGATTTGCCAGTCACTCGATTAGCTGCTGCTTGGGCGCTGATAAAAGAAAACGTATGAATTGCTGTGCGGAGCTTACACCACACACACACACACACACACACACACACACACACACACACACACTCACTCACACAGAGGATCCATCCCTCCGGCTGCAGCAGTGGCTGAGATGAAGTGTGAGTTATTGGTGTACATAATAAACCAACATCTGTACAGTGCACCCCAAACGGCTGTTGGAGAGGCTAGAAGACAAAGCAGAGACATCCTTAGGGCCAGATTTAAGACTCCAATTTGTGTAGCATTTGCATAACAATGCGTGACAGCAGCCCTGCACTGCTCCCCTCAGAATCCACACCTTCACCCCACAACACTGTTCCTGCGGGAGGGCAGTGGCAGCAGGAGCTTGCAAAACTGGGGACCTGTCTGTCTGCCAGGACACACTGACTGGAGGCTCAGCATTCACCGTGAAGAAGTCCTGTCTCTCACATTCTTAAACCTCATTTGTACCAGGCCCTTCCTTTCTGTATGGTGTTCAGTCAACAAGCATATTGTTGAGCGCGGTAAATTCAGGAAATGACGTGGAGTCCTGGGAGGGGAGCCCACAGCCTGCCTCCGCCCTCGCTCCCCTCTCACCTGTTCAGTGACTGAGGGGCTCTTTCTGAGAGTCTGTGCCTCCTGTGCTCTGCAGCGGGCACCTCCAGGGCCTGCAGAAGCTTGGTGCCTGTTTCAGCCTCCTGGTCCTCTGAGGTCGGTGACTGCATTCCTTTCTCTCTTCCTAACATGAGGAAACTGATGCACGAGGAAGTGGCTTGCCAGTGGCTCAGGCTATGCGTCACACAGGCGGAATGCTTCAGCGTCTTTCTTTCAATAGAGAGTGATTTCTTTTATAGGAAATGTAAGGCAACATACATAAGCAATACCCTGCTCAGTAATATTCACTTACAAATAAAATGAGGAAGAGGGAAGATGCTGGGGAGGGATATAGGATGTCTTAAAATGGCAGCACTATATTTCTTAAGCTGGGAGGTAGGTATGAGCATGATCATTTTATTACTTTCATTTGAATAAATACTTTAATGAGAACATAGTTATGTAAACTATGTCATTATATATTCACAGGCTGTGTGTGTGTGTGTGTGTGTGTACTATATGCAAAGAGCTATCAAAAATACAGTGAATGTTTAAATCTTAAAAATTACAGCAAAAGGCTTACAGCCGTCAGCGCCCCCACAACACTCTCTGTCACTTAGACACACACATACCATCATTCTTACCACCTTCCTTAGCAGTCCTGGGAGTCCTTTTCCATGAGTGTGATCAAAAATAGGGTGGATGCTGCTGCTACATGTCACCCAGTAGAAAGGCAGGGTTGTGCAACATGACAATGTGTCCTCATTTACCAGGCCAGCAACACATGTCTCCTGGCTCTTGCCCAAAATCAAAATGACCATAAGAGGTAAATGTTTTGAAACAATTCAGGATATTGATGCAACCATGGCTACAAAATAAAGCTACTTAGAAAAGCGGATTTCCAGAACTGCTTTAGAAAGTGACAAGAATGTCAGGACAGGTGTGCTCTGAGTCAGTTGGGGAGCACCTTGAGGATAACCAGTGTGTCCTTTATCTCAGTAATTTAGAAAATTTACTCACAAGCTGTATTTGTCTATCACACTCTATATATTCCTCAGTACTTGGGATATATCTCACAATAAATTTTTCCAGAGATCCTTCATTCTAGATTCATTGTAGAATCACACTACAATGAAACCTGATTGATAAACTTCTTTTTGTTTCTGTTGGTTTGCTCTTCATGGCTCAGCTTGGACCATCAGCACATTGCCTGCCAGTGAACTTTGCTCACACCAACACTGTTTCTGTCTGTCTGAGGTGTGTGCACCCCTAGTTCCTCCTACTACCTGAAGGCACCTCCTGCCTCCTCTCCTTGGGGGTCTTAGCTTAAGTATTATTTCTTCTATATGTCTCCTGCATTTATGTGATATGCGTTATACTCATACAATAATACGTGTTCTGACTAGCCTGCCCACATGGCTGTGAAGAGCAAATGAAAGTGCAAAAGCAAATAGCCTTTCAGGACACCGTGACTCACCCCGCATTACCAAATGAAACCTCCCTGCTCCTCCCAGCTCCTTGCTTTCTGTTCCTTTCTACATATCTCAATTTGGCTGGAGTCTAATCATTTGGCCTCCCCAGCAGACTTCTGGATGGACTAGTTCAGGGTCTGGCATAAATACACACATGGTACTTTGTTCTTCCAGTGTTCTGAGTTCCTCCTCTCATCTTGCAGCTGGGAGGTTAAGAAAGGCAGAACTTGGCCAGACATAGAGAAAGATTCTGGACACTGACCCAGCAGAGCAAAACTGGACAGTGACTGTGAGGAGGGTCTTGCTAGCTCCTGCTTTCTACGTGTAAACTTCCAGGCCAACAGGTGCTGGGAGGCATCCCTGACAGTGATGGCTGGCAGCATTTCCCATGTGGCCATTCTGCCCGAGGAAGCAGCCTCAGATGCCAGTCAGAAAGCAATGACCCGATGGACTTTCAGTCTCAGCCGAAGACGTTGACGTGGACCCAGGCTGAGGGAGAGACAGTCACATACCGTAGCTGGCACACAAAGGGTAGCGCCGTGCTGACCCCCATTGGCGGAGCCGGAGAATAAAGGAGCACCTGGCAACTTAGGTTAATGAGAATTTCCTCACTTGAATCATATTTTCAAGGAAAATAGGGAATTGCAATTTTAAAGAAATCCTTGAGTCTTTGGCTAAATGAAGAATTGTCTGAGAAATGAAGTCTCCCCTCTACAATGCAGTTATTAAATAGTGCCAATTGGATTTCCATAACATTGAGAGCTATCTCTTTAAAACCATGTCAGGAAACAGAAGCCATCAGTTCAGGGCTTCTGCTGTGAGGGTTCCTTTGTCAGTGAAGCAGAGTTGGGGACAATCTCCTCTAAAAATTGGAGAAGAAAGGGCTATTGTCAGTTCCTACTACATTCTGGTCACCAGGCTGGCCACTGTCATGGGTATGAATTCATCAGGTCGTTACAATACCTCATGACAGAGGAACATTTACACCTGATCTTAGACAGCAAATTCAAGGCTCCAAGAGCTGAGTGACTTTTGCTGCAAAGACAGTTAATAAAGTGAGCAAAGATATGTTCTTCCCTGTGCACAGCACCTGTAGTTATAATAACAGCATTGGTGTGATAGCCAGTGCCATGATCACAACTGTTCACCAATCAGCATAGCATTAAACCTATATGGCAGGTAGTGTTGTCCCCACATTAGGGGAAAGGAATTCTCCAAGGAATGAAAACCAGCCCAAACATAGAGGATGCGTAAGTGCTTAAGCTTGGATTCCAGCTCAGGTCTATCTGGGCTCAAACTTCTTGTTAGTCCTTTTTATTGGCAAAATATATGTTCTCTAAGAAAGATCTGGTATCTGGATGCTGTGATCTATTATGGAAATGTTTATATCTTACCTATAGCTGTTGATCTCTTTGCCTTAGGTGATTAAAAAGAGCTGTCACTTCTGTTTTGTAGGCAGTGACTCAGAGGCTCAGAGCCATGTCAGTGTGGTATGATTAAGAATATAAGTGACTTCCTAAAACTTTATGAAAGCAAAAGACATATGGTCACTAATTCCCACTGGTTCTCCTCCTCACTTCCAACACACTTATCCTGTTGTTGTTTCCAGTGCTGAAGCAGGTCTGGAAGTCTTTCCTTGAGAGTCCTTAGTCTCATCTTTGTGACTTCCTCCGAGTCCTGAACGAATTCAAAATGTACCTCCTGTGGTCATTTTAACTTTGGGGACGAGCCAGAATCATATGGTACTTGATCGTAAATAAAGTGTATGAAGACAAACCATAATATTTTTACTTAGCAGAAAATGTTGTAAACATCTTGAGTCAATTCAGGACATGGAGGCAGCTGCAACAAAAACACAGAAGAGGACTTCCAGTACTGCTTCTGAAAATGGTGAGAGCAAAGAGATGCATCTGCTTGAAGTGAGTGGGGTATACTGGGGAGTGGGGGAGTATTAGCAATGTGCCTTTTCCTGTGATAATTTTCAACTTAGAAAGTCACTGTAGTATTTTATCACATCATGTATCTGTGCATAGCCTCATAGAAGAGGAAGTTTCTTTCTGCATCCTAGTAAGCCAAGGAAAAGAGACTGTGAAGACTCAGGAAGAAGAGAGTGTGGATTGAAGACTCACAGATACACAGAAAGTGGCAGACAATAGGAAGAGAAATTAAGAACTATAGAACTAACTCATAACCTATGGATACCAAAATATGCTAAACAGCAGCAGTTTAAAAGGAAAAAGTTCTGCTGAGGTCATAGCACAGGTCCCCGTTAATCCCTTGACTGAGGAGGGACGCACAAAAAGTAGGCAAAGAACAGTTCACAAACTCGGGCTTAGCCTTGTGCGTGGCTTAAGGTCTAAGATGACTGTGTTAGCTGCCTGTGGGGCTGATCTGACAAATAATCACACACTTGAGAGCTTAAAGCAAGCTTAAAACCTGTTCTCTCACCATTTGGAAGCAGGCGGTCCAAGATCAGTGTCAATGAGTAGAAATCAGGGTGCAGGCACGTGCACAAAAGTCTTGAGGAGAGACTCTCTCGCCCCCTCCAGGGTCTGGCTGCCAGCATTCCTGGGCTTGCGGTCACATCACTGCCTCTGTCTTCATACCACCCTCTCCTTCCCAGGGTAGCAGATCTTGTCACCCCTTTGATGAAGACTCTGTGATCACACTTAGAGTGCATATGTATAATCCAAAGTAACTTCACTACTGTAAGGTGGTAATCACTGGTTCCAGAAGTGAGGATCTGTCTGGTATATTTGGGGCTGTTATTCTGTCTACCAGAGCAAAAAAGTGGATTCATGGTATTCCTCAGCAGCAGAGGGAGCATTTCTGGTCTTTCTATTTCTCCACACCTGGAAACAGCACCCCTCCCCTCGAGGGACAATTGCACAGCTAAGATGGAGCCTGGAGAAAAGAGCCCCTCTAATACCAGGTCGCGTGCTGGCTAAGACAGAGCTGCTGAGAGGGCCAGCCAGGAGACTGGAAAGCTGCGAGTGCCAAGAGAGCAAAGGGGAGACCATGAGGAGACAGCAGAAGGAGAAGAGAGGGTTAAGAGAGAGAAAACATACGAATGCTTTAGAGAAAAGCAAGACAGAAACAACGTGCATCTTTAGGAGAAATGAGGACAGGGAGGACGGGGAGAGACTGATAGGAGCAGGGACAGCAGGGCTGGGTAAGGGAAGTTGGAAGCATGAAGAGAGGAGGCAAAAGCTGGGGAGAAGAGAAAGACTGGAGGGCAAGGCAGCGTGGGCAGAGTGGGGGGACGTGGGAGCAGAGCGTGCACTGTGGGGAGAAATGGCAAGGTGTTTTGGAAGGTGACAAACGTCTATATGTTAATGTGCTGGGATAAAAAGTCCAGCTGCAAGTTACAAATCACATCTATTGGCTGTTACAGCATGGTAATTGTCCATCCAGATATTTTCTTTCTGGTTCCAGGCCCTGGCTTATCAGAGGACAACATGCTTTTGAAATGCTACATTATTTTGTAAGTACATTTCACGTCCAAAAGTTGCACTAAGCATGATATACTGAGGAATGATTCAGTCTCCACTGTGTGTGGCTTCCAGGCTCTGGCACCGTGATTTGAAAATAGCCGTTTCCATCATCCGTTTCCTGCTATGCACGGGTGAGACGGGGCTGCCCGCTGATGGTCTCCCGATCTGTCATTTACCTCTCTCCTCCCTCCCTTCTTCCCCGCTCCCTTCCTCTTTGGGTCCTGCCGTTTCTCCTTTCTACTGTGCCTTCTTTATTTGCCTCAGTCAAGGTTTCTTCTCTCCCCTCTTTGTCTCTCCCTTTCTCTCTCCCTCCTTCCCACTTCCCAAATGTCTCTTCCCAAGGTGTCATGAAGAGCTGCCAGCTTGGGGC